TTAAGACATCACTAGTGGTCTCACAGACGACCCCTTCCTCTGAGTCTTCGCTTGAGTTCAGGTTTTGTTGAAATATCTCTGATTTGATGTCAAAAGTATAGAAATGAATGTATTTTTGGATCAAATCCATAGCAAAGACTCTTTCGATCGATTCGGCGATGATTTGTGTCGACTATTACTGTCTTATCTGCCATTTGAAGAGCACTTCCGACGCGAATGTCTGTCCAAACAGTTCCAGAGGTGTCTACACATCAGTCTCGATGTCCTCACTATCACTGTCACACTGTGGGCCAAAATACGCGCCAAATCTAGATCTAAATCTGTATCTAAATCTGGATCTATTAGAACCGATATATTGACTGATATTCTCAAGAAGTGTGCCAACATTCAGACCATTGATTGCTACCATAACGATATATCATATAAATGGCAAATCTTGGAGGCCATCGATGGTCTATCCGATGATTACTGTCGACGTCTCACACGAATTGACTTATGTTTCAACGATTTCGACGATTCGTCCATTAATTGGTTTCAAAGGTTTGGACCAAAGCTCCACAAACTCACAGTCCAGCCCTCGAACTCCCGGTGCCTCCAGTATTGCCATCATTTGCGTCACCTTTCGGTTCAGACATTGACTGATGTGTTCACTCCAGACAATCGACTAATGACTCAGAAGTTGATATCATTTCGGATAACGGATAACTTCTCTAATGATAAGTTCGCCACATTTGTGGCAAACAATAAGTCATTGAATAGTCTTTACGTGAGCTGTCGGGCCATACCATCGATGCCGGCGTTCCGTGAATTGATGGCACAAATCGCTTCATTACCACAACTCCGGCGATTGACACTTTACTTCTCGGGCGCCCACCCCCCGCTCCCGCACTCTCTCTACGACTCGTTGCGTATAATCGGCACTAATTGTCGACAATTGACACGATTTTCGCTGCAATTAATGTCCAACTCATGGAAACTGAACGTCGACGCCATGAATGCCATGATATTTATGCCGCGATTACGTCATCTGTTTTTGGACTTAGGGTTGATACCCGATGCCGAAATGGTCACCGATTTTCGTATGTTTGATGCCATCTATGGCTGCAAACGATTGACTTATTTAAGACTTCATTTGTGGCAAATATACGACACACTGTTGGCCGACATTGAGACTAATCACCGGAAACTACAGGTGCTCTACATTACTACCACCGATAAAGACATCAAATACAATGAATCGGATGTCAAGACATTTATTATGAGATGCAGTCATAAATTGAGTGCATTTTCGATCTATGAATCGCTTGTACCCGGGATTTGCTTCAATGAGAAACAGATTTATGAAATGAGACACAATTTGACGGCAAATCAATGAATGAATTGTGAAAATTATATTTAGTGTTACTATTTGTTGGCAATTGTTTTCAAATAATGTTGACAGGAAATTAGCTAGATGCTAGTTATCATTGATTATTACTAATTAGTTTTAATCTGTTAATCAATATAAATGTATAATTGATGGGGAATTACACAATCAATTCATTGTTTCATATTTGGCATCAAATGTCATATACTTTTTTTGTACACTATTTCCATTGAATAAATGTTTTCACATGATATATATTATTCCGGCACAATTGGGTATCAGTTATGATATTTAAAATAAAATATAAATGTTACTTATATCACACAAAATTATTATATGATTTTAATTGATATATAGTCAACTGAATTTATTAATTGTAAACTCAGCTATGTTCATTTGTTCAGCACTAAATGTTACAGTAATGTTAAACTACAGTTACGGTACATACAATAATTAATATAATTCATTAAAATATTACCGTAGATGTTGTATTTGATTTAGTTTACTAAATAAGCAAGCTAAATAGACCTCAATATTATTTAACAAATCTGTTTATAAAATCTATGATTTCAAAACATTTATATCTAAACTGTTTATTAAATAAAAGTTATTTAAAACTAAATTATAAATAGTCTACATTTAATTATAACTTATATTTCAGAGACAGTTGTGATACGGATTACCAAGTTCATTGATTACGTCAATTCTATGCATCCAGTTGGCATTATTTATAAAAATGAGCTAGTTAACATTGCAATTATGTTTTATGCACACAAAACATGTAAATTCATATAAATTATTCACTATAATTATACAGGTTCATTTATTGACTATATTTTGTCAGTGAAATAATTTTGAAATAATAATATTCACAGGAAATGGCTGTTAATAAACACATTCACTTAATGAGTAATTAGTTTTAATACTTTATATTTAACCAGGGTATGTGCTAACCATTGTTTGTATGCTTACGCAGCGATTGCTATTTCAAAGCAAATTAAAGTGTTTTTTATTGATTTAAAAATTTAATGAATTATACGTTTCCCGCAGTTAATGATTACTGATGTTCAGGGTTATTTGAAAAACAGTCACTTGTAACTAGGTTATAAGCTATAACAAACAAAAACTAAGTAGTCATTGAATACATTTTAAAATTTAGTTAACAAGTGAATTAAATATAAATTATTATAGTAAGTAATTTATTTGTCCATGTTACAATTTTATTACAATTTTATGAAAATTAATAATTCAAATTGATATTTATATACATGTTCATAATAATAATAATAATATTTCATAAATTTATTTATATAACAATTTTATTACAATTTTAATGATTAATTAATAAATAAAATAGTGTTCACTATAACGGGAGTGTATTGTAGTGATCTAGTTATTAGAATTTTCAAACTATATGTTTATTATTATGTTTGTCTAAACATACAATAAAATGCTTATAAATATGAAATGTTGTAAATGTAAGTGTTCAGGGACAATACATATCCTGTATTAGTCACTACCCTAACATAGAATCGCATGTATTGTCTCTATTCACTCACTTATGTTATAGACTTCAGTGAATATGTTTTCAATGATATCATAAAGTTTAAGTCACACACTGACCACCACCTAGGTTATTATATAATACAATTTATATTTTATTATTGCAAACATTGAGTGAAAAGTGTTTTCAAAATATTTGTGTTTTTTGTGATCATTTCGAAGACATTGAAGACATGGAAGCGATTGGAAGCGACTCTTCGGGTCTCAACTCATCGAACATTCAATTCGTGTCTCAAATGATATCTCTTTTCAGATCTCGGAGTCTGTGATGACATGAGTGGAGACAATGCGGTCACCAATGGATCCGTTGATGTGAAGGACAGCACCGGTAGTCTGGATATGACTCAACGGTTTATGACATCAATAGTGATTTCACAGACGACCCCTTCCTCTGAGTCTTCACTTGAATATAGGTTTTGTTTAATTATCTCTGAATTGGTGTCAAAAGTATAGAAATTAATGAATTTTTGGATCAAATCTATAGCAAAGACTCTTTCGATCGATTCGGCGATGATTTGTGTCAACTGTTGTTGAGTTTTCTGCCATTTGAAGAGCACTTCCGAAGGGAATGTCTGTCCAAACAGTTCCAGAGATGTCTTCACAACTCTATCAAAGTCCTCACTATCACTGACACACTGTTTGCCAAAATGAGCGCAAAGTCTGGATCCTTTGGAACCGATATATTGACTGATATTATCAAGAAGTGTCCCAACATTCAGACCATTGATTGCTACCATATATTACGCTACAAATCAGATCATATGAGACCACTGTTGTCAGCCATCGATGGTCTGTCCGATGATTACTGTCGACGTCTCACACGAATTGATGTCTGGTTTGCTTTTATCGATGATTCGGTCATTAATTGGGTTCAAAGGTTTGCGCCAAAACTCCAGACCCTCGGAGTCCGACACGAAAACCCACAATACCTCGAGTATTGCCATCATTTGCGTCACCTTCGGGTTCAGACATTGACTGATGTCTTCACTCCAGACAATCGACTAATGGCTAAGAATTTGA